TTCAAAAGAATTTAATCTCTAACCCACTGTTTGCTTTTCCCAATTTGCTTGCTGGAAATCACTTCATATTTCTGAGACAGGAAACTGCCGACAATCCTATCTTGTAGCACTTTGATCCATTCCAGGCAATAGGAGCTGCCCACTTTTTTTCAACTAGTTCTGGATGAAGGGTTTTTTAATTGTGGCTGCATTGACCCCCAAGCACAAATTACAGATCATTAATATAGACTGAGACATCAAAGACCGTTTATCATACTACACTTGCATGAAAGTTACTATACTTGCTTTTTGGAAGAAGATCTTATATGGTATTGGATATTGATTAGAAGTTCTGACATCATTACGACATCTTTTTGACCCTGACGCAGAGAGGGCGTGATTGGACACCAGCGATCACGTGGTTTAACGAGGTGCAAGTCAAGGCTTGTGGAAATAAAGAAACACACACAGAAGGAACCAGTGTGCCGCACTTTTCAAGAGACGTGATCGATATGTTGGAAACCCCTCTCTGATATCCGGGAGTGTGGCGCAGATGCACAGAGCGATGTGCCAGTTGTCGAGTGACAACAGCCCAGCTGCTGAGATCCAAGTTTGATGGAACAAGAAGGGGAGTCTAGTCGCTACAGAGTGATTCATGGCAGCCTGACTACACGATGCACACCTTGCTCAGTGATTTTACCTGCTTTCACCTGCAAACTGTCCTGCGGGCTCTTCCCGATCTTCCAACACTGCAGCAGGACAGCTCCTGTTCTGTTGCTTATAGAAACAGCATTCTTGCAAGATGAGGATGTGACTTTATGCATTATGTTTTGACTGTCATGCAGTGTCACTAAATGATTGTCATGCAATGGATGCCCTGCTCTCCAGACTTGACCCCCATTGATTACTCAAGCTTGAATTGATTACTGTAATCGCCTAAGTATCTAAATCCACATTAAACAAACATCAGTATGTCCAGAATTCAGTAGCCACAATCCTGACCAGGTCTTGGGAAAGTGATCACATTACTCCTATCCTGGAGTAACAGGGCCTTCTCTTGCTGTGCCCCAATGCTCTGGAACTCTCTACCCAAGGATATCAGAGAGTCACCTTGCCTGAAACCTTTCATATCAAGACTCAAAACCTCCTTTTTTAGAAGGGCTTTTATTTAAGTGGTTCTGTGTCTACCCCTTTGCTTTCCTACTTTATTCCAAACCCTAACTGTAATTGAATAATACCACTGTCTCGTCTCATATTATTTTTTATTTAATGTAAAGCGCTTTGAAAAGCCTCTTTAAAAGGCAATATATAAAATAAAGTTTATTATTCTTA